CACACTATATTTTACCTTGTCATCTGTAATCCACGAAATGTTGTTGATTTTCCATTCGGGGCTTTGGTGTGTAGACTCTTTTTAAAATGTTAAGATAAGTCTGATAAACAATAAAGTTTAAAAGAACACCCGCTTCGAATGTTATCAGCCATTAAATGGACGTTATTAGTTGTTATCATTTCCATAGGTTGCTTTCAGACTGTCCCTCCTGGTACATTTTTATCGCTGATAATAGGGTCAGGTGGTTAGGTTAAGGGTCAAGGGTCAGAGGGTTAAGTTTATGGTCCGTGCTCAAGGTCAGGTGTAAGATTAGGTTTAGGAAAAGGGTTAAATAAAGCTAACAAAAAAAATGTGGTTTTAGATGTGGGCAAAGCTGCATTTTAACAGCAAAAAGAACACACCTGGGACAGTCTGAACGCAACTTATGGGGATGATAACAACTAATAACGTCCATTTAATGGGCTGACAACATTCAAAGCCACTGAAAAGAACCTAAAATGGTTGTAATAGTTTCTACTTGCACCATGTCTGTACAGTACTGTATTGTGGTTATCTGACTCCATCTGAAGTGAGGGGTAAATGTCTGAGTAAAGGAAACAGTATCACTTTACCTGGATAGCATTTATAAATAGCAAACAGTTCCATGTGAACCAGTGACTGACACCTTGTTAGTGTCTGAAGGACTTACAGTAATAGGAGGGAATGCATGCTTTGTTCATGTGACCTCCTATCTTTGTGTCCATAGAGTGAAAGCAGAGACACTTTAATGAAACTAATGAGGAAATCTTATATAACCGAGGTGATTCTCTTACCTGAAGGGGATCACCAATGGAATGCAAGAATGGTAACACCAGTTCTCTTACTTCCTTTGTGTCTTTTACACAGACACACTTGCATCACTATGGGAAGAAATACTTTCTCATAACTTTCACATAAGTGTAAATGATGCAATAATAAAATAGTTAAATCTTATACTGCAGTAACATTCATGTATTTGTTTACAATTAAACCAAGGGTCTGAGCAGAAATACTTTTCTCTTTTAAAAGATTTGCAAGTGAGTAAAAGGACATTGAGGTTTTTGTTTATATTTATTTACCTTTATTTAATTAGATACATTCTATTGAGACCACATATCTCTTTTGCAAGACAGGTCATAGCCTAAAAGCAGTCTAACATGCACGTTTTTTTTAGATTGTAGTAGGAAACCGGAGTATCTAGAGAAAACACACAAATATGACTGACACACAAATGGAGAACATGCTCCACACAGAGAGAGCCCAGGTTCAAACAAGGGATTGAACTCAGGACCTTCGTGTTATGAGGCAACAGTGCTGACCACTGATCCCTGCAGCCATGATCTGAGCTGTTCAAATTAGCTAAACGACTATTTGTAATTAATATGGAAAGTTGTTTTCAACAAGAATACTGACAAGATCAGTAAATGAACTCATGCATGCTGTAAATGAACTCATTAAACATGCATGCTGCTTCATTGTAGTTCAGTTCAGTTTATTTATATAGTGCCAAGTTACAACAGAAGTCGTCTCAGAGCACTGAACAGAAACATTCAAACACATTATAATAGCCAATAAGTAAAAGTTATCTATCCAAGGAAGCCAGCAGATTGTGTTGAATATTCACTTCATCACATTTTAATGATGTTTAATTTTGGCTTTTGAATTGATTGAGACTTTTTGATATAAAATTTAAAAAAAATTTTTAGGAAATGTTTAACCCTTCTGAGACGATTGTCTGCCCTGTCTGTCTGCACCTCTCTGTATTTTTCCTCATCTTCACAGCTGATCCGAATCCCACTCATCCCAGGTGTCCCCTCTCTCCTCATTCGTAAAGCTTCTGTCTTATCACTCCCTTGGTGTCCGGGAATTATCATACCCATCTTACCGTGTCTATGGTCTGGTCTGCTCTCCTCTTTTTGTTAACGTAAGTTTTGCTGCCCCGTCAGCATTATGTTTTGTTTTTGTAAAATAAATCATTATTGTTTTACCTCTAGAGTCCTCCTGCCTCTGCTTGCACGTGGGCTCGACACTTAAAACACCAGACATGTCACCTTCAGCTTTTCACATCAAGTGTTAGCATTCATTTTCAGAAGGCAGAATATTTCACCTGTGTAGACTGCTGGGTTTAAAAATTCAGCACCTAACTGGAACCATGTCTTGATCTCCTTACAACTAGTTTGTCCTGGAGTAATTTTTGTACTTGGATCAATTTTGCATGCATCGAACTTCTAAGCAAATGTAGCATCTGCTTATTTATAATAACAAGTTATAGTTGCTATTAAAAATTACTCATGGACTTTTTAAAATTTATTTTTCAGCAACAGAAGCCTTTTCTAAAATGAGTTAAATTTATTAAAAACAAAGCAGCAAGTTGAAAATTAACTTGTAAAGCGTGTGCTACTCTACAATAGTCACAGAAATGATACATTTTTAATAACATAGGTTTCAGTACTGGTACTGGTGTGCTGGACAGAAAACATTCAAATGTTTGATTTTGACTTGAAGGCTTGACCGGTGAGCTTTAATTTCACATGTCACCATTAAGTTGTGTTACAGACTAGAAGTGAAATATGAAGCATACAACCTTTCTGAAGCTTCAGTCAATCTGTCATCATCCTCGATCTTGTAGGTTAAGATCTCTTTCAGCTATGAAAATAATTTCCTTCATCATTTTGCATCTGCATTTATTGCACATAATTATGTGAGCAATGCTTCACAAAGACCCAATAGATAAAATATGCTAATAGTCCATACTAAGTACCCAGTGAAGGACTGCCATGCCTTTGGTCTGGGCAAGGGACTATGATGCCAAAGGCACAATCTATTTATTGATCATTTAAAGAAAAAAAGAAAGCTGGTGCTCAAGCACAACACAAAAAATATAGTAACTGTTACTTTATAATTTTTTTTGCTGTCTGTATATTTTTTAACTTGATTGACAAACTGATAAGTTATTTCAGCATACCTGACAAGTTTAAAGTCTAATATTTTGACAACTGGCACAACCAGAAATAGAGGCATGGGTCCAAATACATGCTTAAATAACTATATATTTATAAATCAACACATCATTTGCATTCAACAGTTTATTTTGCCATAGGAAAACATGTAAACTTGAAGCATCCAACATATTTCATTGACACAGCATAAATTACATGTGTTTTATAAGTTGAATCATAGAACATGTTGGTCCACTGACCCCCTAGTCCTTTAACAGTTCCCTTTATTCCTTTTACTAACCCATTCATCTAAATACAAGCTACAGTTAATTATTTCAGTTTAGGTTTTCTTATATGACCATGGGAGGTTTTTTTTTTTTTTTTTTTTGAAAAGGCAAAAGGTAAAAAAAATGTACAAATATATATTTCTAATATGAGTCCAATGATCAAAGATTCAAATTTTTTGACCGGTGGTCTTCGATAAACCCTAGAAAGTTTCAAATTTATTTCAGATCAGAATGGAGTTCTTGGTTAGACTGCTTGTTAGGAAACTAACAAAGGCCCAACCAGAAACAGTGTCATGAAAAACACTGAAAAAAAAAAAAAATAGTGGACATAAGTGTTTAATAAATAAGGGTATTGTACTGAGATTGTGTATGGCAAATTGAAAACTAGACTGAAATCTTAAGTTAAGGCACTCTGCATCATGTGTTTGCAATGATTCAGACTCAAACAGACTGTATTAGAGAATTATGTTTAAAATCTCAGCAGAGAATAAATACATTAAACAGTAATATCTTTATCAATAAATAAACACTGCAGGGCTTAAAAAGAAACATTCTGCACAAATGAAAACATTTGTTTTTGTTGCAATTAGTCTCTTTTTAGGAACTTTTCCTTATTCTTATCCAATTGCACAACAATTTTGTCCCTTGCTACATTTAGAAGCCGCATTTATTAAAATGTTATGAGAAGGGCATAAATTATCTTATAACTGTCAGTTTCTTTGGTCCATTATAAATTAAAAACAAATAATGTGCACAGGAGACATACACGGTCAGCTCCCAACATGCTTCTATAAATATATACTACGTGATGATTAAATGAAATGGATTTTATCCAAAAAAGTTCAATCTGGTCCTCTGGACATTCAAAAAAACAAAAGCAAAACAAAGCAAAAGAAATCTAGAAACGTTTTGTCTCTCATCCAAGAGACTTCCTCAGTCTGAGGTGGTTTTGGTTGTCAGCAGCAAACTGGTTGATCCACTCTAAGAAGGTGCTATTTAAGAGACTGAGCTGAAAACAGCACCTCAGACTGAGGAAGTCTCTTGGATGAGAGACAAAACGTTTCTAGATTTCTTTTGCTTTGTTTTGCTTTTGTTTTTTTGAATGTCCAGAGGACCAGATTGAACTTTTTTGGATTTTTCTACCTGGATTATTGAGCATGCATCAGGATATGAAATGGATTTTAGTAGCAGTAGAAAGATCATTTCCATAAGCTACGTGATGCAATTTTAACCACATGACTGGCTTGTGACATTTGCTTGTGCTCTTTACCTTCAATTACATTTGACATTTTAAGAATACCTGAAACTTGTGATTTACGGTTGCAGAGATCACTGAGTCCTTCAGAAAATCACATTAGTAAAGAAAAAATACATCACATGAGTAGCGGCCAAGACAATAAGAGTAAGAACAAAGTTAAAAAGGATTTTTTTTTTAATGTTCAACAAGTATGTTTAAAGGATTAAATTCTGTGTTGATGCATCTGAATTCTAACTGCCTGTAAACCAGAAATAATAAATACATATGGTCACAGACTTTTGAGCATGATTGTGGTGAATCCACAAGTAAATCCATGTATTTCCATTGATCAAAACAAAAGAGGTAAATGTGGTACTCCTGTTTGTTATTATAAAACACATTTTCCACAGGAACAGTATTTCATTGATCCGTAAGACCATTCTTTGGATTTTACACCAGATAAATCCATCTCAGTGAAAAGTCTCTGTATTCATCTACAGTTGTTTGTCCTTCACTCTGCTAGATGCCATTGGCTTTATTGAGTGAAGTTTTGCTACTTCGCTTGTTACTTTCTTCAACCTCCAGTGCTTGCTGGAGAGCCTCTGCCATGGGAACCTTGTCCTCTGCTTCAGTCTCTCTGTGGTAGAAGTAGTTGAAGTTGGAAACAATGACAGGAACAGGCAAAGCAATTGTCAACACACCTGCAATGGCACATAAAGTGCCCACTACCTTACCCCCTAAGGTTATGGGACACATATCTCCATAACCTACAGTGGTCATGGTGACCACAGCCCACCAGAAACCATCAGGGATGCTGACAAACTGTGTTTTAGGGTCATCTACTTCAGCAAAGTAGATGGCACTGGAGAAGAGGATCACTCCAATGAAGAGGAAGAAGATGAGCAAACCAAGCTCCCTCATGCTGGCCTTCAAAGTCTGCCCTAAGATCTGCAGCCCCTTCGAGTGACGTGAGAGTTTGAAAATACGAAACACCCTGACTAGGCGGATGATACGTAAAATAGCCAAGGACATGTTCTGTCCTGAGCTCTCTTCTGGGGTTGTGGCCAATTCTGTGATCAAAGTTACAAAATAAGGGACGATAGATATAATATCAATGATGTTCATGAGGTTGTGGAAAAACTCCCTTTTGCTTGGACAGGCTACAAACCGAACACACAGCTCAAAAGCAAACCAAGCAATGCAGGCAGTCTCAATGAAGAAGAAAGGATCAGAAAAAGTTTTGAGCTTAGATGGAGATGCAGCATTGTGACCTCGTGATTGGTTGAAATGTTTTAAGGAGGGAACAACTGGATCAGAGTCGTCTCTGAATACTGGTAGCGTTTCCATGCAGAAAATAATAATGGATATGACAATAACAAGGACAGAGACGAGGGCTACACCACGTGCTGCATTGGAGCTCTCTGGGTACTCAAACAACAACCAGAACTGCCTGGATATGTCATTTTTAGGGAGTGGGATGTCAACATCTTTTATGAACCCTTCATCTTCTCTGAACTGTTCCATGGCCTCGCTCCCAAGCTCGTAGAATACAATTTCATCAGCAAACACATCAATGGGAACATTGGCAGGTCTTCTGATTTTACCCCCAGACTGGTAGTAATACAAGATCCCATCAAAGCTTGGTCGGTTCCGATCAAAAAAGTACTCATTCCTCATTGGATCAAAGTAGTCCATCCTCTTCAAAGGGTCCCCAAGAAGTGTTTCAGGAAACTGGTCCAATGTTTTAAGTTGTGTCTCAAAACGAAGGCCAGCAATATTGAAGATGATCTTCTGGTCTCCATCGTCCAAACCCCGTTTATCTCCAAACAAATCCTCATAAAACTCTTTAGTAAGCTGACTGAATATTGTCTCACTTTCCTTTCCCCCTTCACTGTTAAGCAGCATTTTCCAGTTAGAGATCATGCTGGCACAACTGCTGTGCCCCTTTCTGCTTGGGGATGGTATCATTGGGGAATGAGGTACTCCAAGTGTTTGTGATTGTGGAATGGGCGATGAAGAGGTGGATTCCCAGATGTAGGAGGGCAAAGGGCTGGGATGGGAGGGTGTAGAAGACAGCTGAGGAGCTCGTAGGAAGTAGTTGTCTGGGCTGTTGTGCTCTGGGGGCACATCTGCTGTGAGAGCCGTGGTCTCATCAGCAAAGGTGTCCACTTCATCCTCAAGGCTGCCATCAAGGTCCTCCAGGCTCTCAAAGTCAACCAAGGCCACATCCATGGCTGTAATTCAGCCAGTGTAAAGCCTTGGACTACGAGGTTAAGACAGTGACTCCAACAATAAAAGGATGGAAAGCTCAGTCACCAAAATGAGCAGCAGCATCAATGAGCCACAGCATTGAGTCTATGGTAAGACTCATGGGACAAACTGAAAGTCAGCTTTCTAGTTTCCAGTCAGCACCTACAGAAATAACAAACAAAAGAAAAAAAAAGAGAATTGGTGAGTTAATGTGTTTAAACCAAATTTTGTTTTCATTCTTGACTTTTGTTATTTGAAAGAGTTTTTGTTGTTATTAGTCCAAAAGTTTGGCAAATTCATTAAAGTGTTTTATAGTATGTCTACTTTAATTTGTCTTTTGATAATAATCCATATTCTGTACTTTGAATGTATTAAAAGACAATATGCCTTCATAATAATAATAACCTGAAGACAAAATGACAAATATATTTTAAATAAGATCAGATATTATTTAGCCAGACAAATGTTGGTTTATACAAAAACAGTGTTTTGTTTGATGTTTGCTACTTTCTCTTCTCACAGTTCCTGACATACAGTAACACACTGCCTACACAATGACAGACTGTAGAAACAATATTTGTTGTATTTCTATGACACAATGAAATGTTCTCCAAAAACTGGAATTTTCTCTTGCTCCTGCCTTCTACCTGACTTGCTCAATTTCTCTCTTTCACTCTGTTCCGTTCTAAAAACAAGTGTTGTTTAAGCAGTCATGATAGAATATGACTACTTGTTTAACATATATCACAGTTGTCACATTCTTTTCATTGTGTGATAGACAGAACAGCTTTGTTAATGATGACTAACAAAAGGAGTTTAATTACCCGTGTGTATGTGTGTAGGAATTGATCTGTCTTTATGTTGGCAAAAACTCAAAGTAATCACTGAGTGTACATTAACAACTTGGAGTCAAAACCATTTAAAATGGCTGCCACAGATAACCATTTTGGGGTTTTGAAAAAATAATTATAATAACTTTGTGAATTTTACAGATAATAAACTATAATTCGATCTAGTTGTAGCTGACAGTCTTTCACAATACATAGCTACAACTTGCGCAACATCTTTGCTTAAAACTTTGACATTTCGTCAATTCAGTGTTGTTTATGATCAAACATTCTCATAAACCACTTTACAGATTTTAATTAAACTCCCATGATGTAATCATTTGATGTACCATCTACCGGTACTACTGATTGTCTATTGTTGTCAATCCAATTTACGATCACCCACACACCTATTCAACCTTTGTCAACAAAAACTTTGCTATACTGCTGTCCGATGTACAGATATTGAGCCAAAGTTTTATGTAGTAGTAGCTGATAGTCATTCTCAGTACATAGTCTGAGCACCACCAGAGTTTGTAACATCACATGAGATTGCACATGTACAAGGATGGACTAAACAGTTATATCTCCACTCCTCATCACAAGATGATCTTAGTTCTGGCCAGGGGCAGTCCTTGCCTGTTTGCTACCCTGGGCAAATAATCCCTGGTTGCGCAGACATGCTTCGCCATGCCATATCATTTAGATTACCATGTACCATCACAGAAACCCAAGGCTTCTTTGGATCTACAGTAGTCCCTCGCTACTTTGCGGTTCATTTATTGTGGACTTGCGCTATCGCGGTTTTTCAAAATAAGATAGGACATGACACACAATTGGCTGATTGACGAATGAGCCGCACTTTCGGCACATAATTAAATTATTTTAAATTATTTAGCACCTGCTGCACCTTTGTGCAGCCCATAATGCAAGGTAAACTTCCTGCTGCAGCTGATCAGCTGTTCACTGCGCAGAGTGGAAAAGTGGGCGTGGCCAAGAGTGCTTGCAGGTGGCAAGGAGCTGAAATCATGACATTCTGTGCTCTTTTAGAGAGTTTAGAAACATTGTTTACAATATTGCAAGTGTTGGAAGGGTTTAAAACACCTTCACACATATATATATATATTTATATGTACATATATATATTATATATA